ATAGAAATGCTGTTTTCCCATATTTGATGATAAATTTTTGATATTTGAGTAGAGCATATCTTAGTGACCGGTGATTCTATTCAGGTAAAAATGCCAATTATTTTTGCTCTTTCTATCCAAAAGTAAACTGGAACTAAGTGTTAGGAGTTCAGGGTTGGTTTTTTTTTTTTAAATCCAGTTAGTATTTTTATGTGCAATATAGGCAGAAGTTCTAGATAATGGGTAGAGAACTTAATCTCTAAACATACTGGGTGTCTTGAAACTCTTTTGAATCAAAAGCCTGGTACCTAGAGACAGACATTTTTGTAATAATCCCTTCCTGACCTTTTTCATTCAGCTAGGGTGCATCTTTTTGCCAATTGTTTACTGCAGTTTTAGATTACACATGAACATGTATTTATATACTTGGATCCTTCTCCGAATTCAAAAGGCTTTGAAATTTTCATCCTCAACGTTTTTCTCATTAGTAATTATTATCCTGAAGTTGTGCGTTCAATTAGCTGGGAGGTGTTATGTCTGAAAACTTTTTACGTCAAGAGAGTGGCCTGATTTTTCAGTGTAGTGCCTCTTGTATACCAAACTTTCATTCCAACATCCTGGATCTCTGTGTTCTATTTTCCATTTAGTTTCCTTCAGCTATAGTCTAGGATTATTTTTCTCTATCCTTGTATCCTTCTATCCAAAAGATACGGGAGATGATCATACTTAAAAACTTCCCTAGAGCAAGCTTGTAGTTGCAGTTGCAAGCTAAGTATTCCCCTGAAGTAGCCTATGGACTGTAGAGCTTGGTCACAACAATGTGAGTACCACTCTCACTGCCATAGTTGATAGCTGTGACCGAACAGTAAGATTTTTAGTTAAGTGTTAGCCCAGAATGGATAATATATTACAAAACTGTAGTGAGAGCTGTTGACCTTTTCTGGACAATGTTTAAAATGCTCTCTCCTCTGCCCCGTTGTGTACTGGTATTTGCTTTCTGCCCCTGCAGGGACCGGTGGCAGTTTGTGAATACCTAGTCATTTTGGCAGTAATGCTATGCTGGGTTACAGGAAGCTGTCACTGCTTTTTCTATGTGGCATTAAGAATGGAGTCACTTGAGCATTAGTTTAGATCATATGTGGAAGGATTTGGGGACAATACAGCATAGAATATGTATCTCTGTCATGATTTCAGTAAATGGAAATATTGATAAATTCTATTAATATTTTGTTGGGAGAGAGGGAGGAATGATGTAAGAAATGAACTGCAGAATCAGAAGTGAAACAGCAGAACTGCAGTAGGAATGGGCTGTGTATAACATTCGTGAGCAAAATGCCATTGGTTGATAATACTTTATTTACCAGAATGTCTCCTAAATTTTGGTGAATATTCATACTATAATTAAGGTTAAAAATAATCTTGTCAAAGAATGTTTGATATTCTTTTAAAATTTGTAAATTCAGAAAGTAAAGTCACCGTAGAGAGACTCACTGTTTTGTGCGCTTAGAATCATAGAACAGTTTCGGTTGGAAGAGACCTTCAAGATCATAAAGTCCAACCTTTTCCTAGCTAAATGGGAGTATTTATCTTGGAATTCAGAGAAATAAGGCTTTATTTCAGTGTTTTTAGCAGTTCATTTTCCATGCAAGTCTTGCATCACTTCCTCTGTTTTCAAGCACTACATCCTCACTAGAGCTTCTTGACAGCTAAAAAGTAGAATCTGCAGTTACTTTGAATCTGTCCTTATTTTTCAAAAATAACCAGTGATGTCCCTTTTATTTAAAAGGAGACTTTTTTACAATCTATAAATTTTGTTTTTATTAAAGCGAGAAGCTTTAGCCATCGATTCAGCCAAAAGTAAAATTGAGTGGTTTTCTGAAGTGAGAATACGCCATTGTTTGGGGTTATCTTACCAGAAAGGTAAAGAAAACAATAATCTTACTGTTAACCCACTGACACTTCACTGATATCCATTCCATTCTCAGCTTTGTTTTTCTTTTTTTTTTTTTCCTTATATTCATGCTTTCTGTTCTTTTACAGGATTAATTGGAATCATTGTGAAACTGAAATATTTTTAAGGTCACTGTGTATTAAAACAAGAACTTAATTCTTGGCTTCTGTATTCACTACATTGCCTTATAGACTTTTCTGCAGATGCCTGTACACTTGAACACATGCTGTTTCTTACAAGAACTCTAAAAATGGTCTGTCTTGAAGCTGGATACCTATTACTTTAATGGCATCTATTATTCCGGTCTGAAAAGAAAAAAAAAAAAAAAACACAAAACCTTGACTTTTCTGGGCATACTTGCTCATATAAGGCTGTATCGCCTCACCCTCTCCATTCACTGCCCATCTGAGACAAATGGGCACTCTACTTGACAGTTAGCTAGGATGTTAAAGGGGAAATGGATAGTACAAATAGCTGTTAATGGGTGGGTTTTTTTCATTCTGTGGGAAGGTGTAGTAGCCTATCAGTTTTCTGTAGTACGTAATGCATATTCCCAATTTTATCTGTGTTGTGTGCTCCATGCTTAGGAGCAGAAGGAGATCGTATAACACAAGCCTGTATAAAACCAGGCCTGTTTTGCAGCACCTTTCAGTTACAGTAAGCATTTAAAGTATCGCTTCGATGTGAATCTGGAGAATGAAATGAATGAAATGAGAGAATGACTTCCAAATTTTTGTAAGAAACATCTTTTTTCTTTAATTTCTAAAGAGCTTCCTGGTACAGGGTGGCTATTCAGTTTATATACTAAATACTGGAGAGACTTTCTTCCCCTCAATTTCCTCTCTAGGAATATTTCTGATACTGCTGCATATTCTGATACTAAATGTGTAAAAATTTCTGGTTCCTAATTTGAACGGATACTTGCTGGCATTTTATATTATGCCTTCATAATATTTTGTTTTATTTCTAATTACAAAGAAGTGAATATGTAAGCATAGCGCTTCACAGAACTGTATTTTCCACTCAGTTATCCTTACCTATTCGTAAATAATAGTATACTGTTAGGCTAATTCATACTAAGTTGAGTATTGATAGTTTCTTGGTTTTTTTCTTTTATTAGATGATGCTTCAGCTCCAGAGCAGCCTCAGATGACCACTTCTGGTCAGATTATCATTTCTGGTCAGACGATGCTGACTGATGAAACTCTCTCAGCTGTCTCAAAGTCTAGCAAGAATGCTGCAAAAACCAGTGACATAGAAACAGCAAACCTGTCTCCTAGCCTGATTCCGGCACAGCAGCCCACAATATCATTAATAACAGATGACAATACGGATGCACTAAGTGTAGAGTCACTTACACTGGTGCCACCAGTTGATCCACACAGCATTCGAACATTCGGCTGCATTCCTCAGTCCTCTTTGCAATCTGAACTTGAAGTTTGCAAGGTAGAAGAGGTAGAGGAAGAATGTTCTGACTAAAGCCAGCCTGCAGACTGCGGTAAACAGTGAAGCAAATGCAACCAAATACTTCATTGTTTTTTCTTTGGGAGTGCGGACACAAAGCCTGAGAGGCCATCTGGTCCACAAGAAGAGGCCCACTGGTGAAAGAGAATGTGGGCAGCTTTTAGAGTAAACATGAGATGCTCAGCATATTTAAACTGGAGAAGGGAAAAAAAAAAAAACAACTTTTGAGTCTGGACTGGTTGTTTCCTACCAATTTGTGTTATACAAGAACGTGAAAGTGTTTCAGAGCACCTACTTTCTTTCTGTTATAGAGTTCCAGTTGCAGGGCTAAGTTAACTGTAAAAAGTCTACAGTATTATGGCAAAGTGAAGAAATTTTTGGATACCTGGCTTCAGGATATTGTCTAATTACTTCTCTGAAACTGGAGGCATACTGTTGACCAGAAAAAATTATATATTGTAGTACAGAGATAACATTTCCATTTGAGACACGGTGTGGTTTTCCATTTGGGGTTGTTTGGTTTGAGTTTTTTTTGATCCTGATCTCGTTCATCTTTTGGAGCTCTGCATGATACCAGCAGGCTTGGCTGCTTTCAATGTTGTCTTCATAGGACTCCGGACTTTGATATTGTGTTTTCCATGTGTAATATTTATTTCAAGGTTTTATTCAAAGCAAGATAGATATCAAACAATTTTTTTAAAACATAAAAGTCTGAAATTTTATGTCAAATGTCTATTCAGATTAACATAAGGGATTTTTGAGACTACTTTAGTCTTTGCTTAACCAGCTACAGGGGAATGTGAAATATTTTAAGAGATTGCTATAGCTGGTTTGTTTGCTTCTGACAGCCAAATTGCTACACCTCTGAGGAATGATGATACCCTTTCTTTTGAAGGACAATTTCTAGAAGCAGACAGAAGCAGTTTTACTCTAAGGAGTTTTTTTAAAGTTTTCATCTTCATGTAGGAAGACGGTCACCACATCTAACTGGTAATTTGTTTGCAAGTCTGAAACTCAAAAGAAAAGGTATTGTGTGGTTTGTTTCCTATCTGGCATAGTATCACAGTTAAACAACATTGCTACGTAAAAGTGATTCTGAGTTTATGCTTGCCCTACTTTGCTTCCTAGATCCTGATACCAAGTTGACAGGAAGTAGTGGATCAGTGATTCAAGTTTGGAATGTTCTTTGCTGATTTGATATGTAATTTTTAACATGAATGACATTTAAGATTTCTCATCAATTTCTCTGTGTGTTAATTTAATAGTAGAATGAGCAGATTGTCGTTATTGGTCTGCTCATACCATTGAGTACTTTCTGGCTCTCAAAGATTGAAGACTACTATTTAATTGGTTGTGATTTCAGTCATCAGTGCCGATCTGTTTCCTCATTCTGTCTCTACTATTGATTTCATATCAAGTAGGCAATCTGAAAATTTTTACTTACTTCCCAGTCCCTTATTGTACCTCTTCTGGCTGTCAGATGGAATATTTGGAGTGATTTTATGAGATTGACAAGAATAACTTTGCTCACTTTTTCCACCTTTTCCTTCACATAATAACTTAATCTTTATAAAACATGTATACAAGGTGTCTGCTGTTGAATGCCAGCAATATTTTTTCTTCTCTTACTAGCTTTTATATGCAGATTTGTTGATTTCTAGTTTTCTGTGACTTCTACTTTGTCTCAAATTGAATTAACCAATATTCTGACCATTCCGGAGTGGCCCAAACTCTAAATGAATTCTGAGAGTTAGTCCTCAGCACTGGTATGGATACAGGCTGAGAATTTGGCATTGCTGGAGTAAGAGCCTACCCTTTACTTGGTCGTATGCTGAAGGTGAGTTTACACTGCAGTCACTGTTGCAGCTAATGTACATGTACCGGAACAAGCCTAGGTGTAAGTAGCAATTTGGGTGCAAGGACCACATAAATTTTTATTAGCTGAACTGATTGCAGTCTAGACTTCCTCTAGTATGTTGCAGTATTACACTGTAGCCCCAGTAATATTGTGAAGATCATTATTAAAAAAATGCCTTACTTAATTTGAAAGCATTTTATGTTAGTTGTTAACCTTAACTCTTGACCTAGATTACACAAAATGCCACTGTGCAGGTTGAGTTCCCTTAAAGAGAATTAATTTTAGACTGGAAAACCTCCATCTTTATTTATCTAACTTCAAATTCAGTTCTAGCAAGATTAGGACCATGCTCAAGGAGTCTTTTTAATGGGTACACATAATCTCACCATTGGGCTATACTGCACAAGAAATGGGACAAAGGGAAAGCAAGGTGACTTTGTGCTTTTCATTGCCTTTGAGTGGCTTTTAAATCTCATGACCGGTTCTCTACTGAGAGCTTCACAGTAAATGACTGAGATAAATACTATTAGGAAAATAGAAGTCTAGGTCTACTGTCTAGTCTGTTGCTGGCAGAGCCTTGCTGATCAAGGGTGGTAAGGTAGGATGTCTTCTAACAGTTCTATCAAAAGCTCTCTGCAAAGATGGAGTTACACTAGGAAAGCTTTGCCTGCGCCAGCTCTTTCAATGTTGTGTTGTTATATAAATGCTACAACTGGTACAGACCATCCTAAATCTCTGAATGGTTATGCCACAGAAGCGATTGATTTTTGACATGTTTGCTTCTAACAAGGCATATGTGTATGCAATTTGACTGTGCTTCGTGCTGCATTAGGAGACTTCAGAATGTAAAAGCTCTAGAGATGATGAAATAATCTGTCATCAGCAAGTCATTATCTCTGCAAGTACCATGTTACTCATTTACAGTTCCTTGAAGAGTATCATATCTATCTTTCCCTTATCAGAAAAACTCAAGGGCTGTTTCCTTATCCCCCTTTCACTGTAAAAAGGAAACTCAACCAAGAAAGCATTAGCACATCAGCCACAAATGTAAATTTTTTCTAAACAAAAGTTGATTTGAGTCAGTGTAACATCACTCTTTTTAATCAAATCCAAATACCAAGTTGCAAATGAAGGCAGCAGCTAAGCAACTGACTGTTCAAAAGGTTCACTATTTCAGTCTAATACTGCAGAGGGAGGTAGAATCGCTCTAAACTAAGTATAGCCGTGTTCCAGAGCAAAATGCCAACATTTTGGAGAGAGGCTAAATTCTCAGTGTCTGTTTGTAGAGGCTATGCCTGTCTTCAGCCGTATTCTGTTAACATAAAAGGGTTCTATTATTCTCTTCTTTTTGAGAAAAGAAGCCAAATAAGCCAAGGCATGCTGACTATTACTTTACTATTTTATGGTCCGTGTGTCTCATTTTTTCGAATTTTACAAAGATATTACTTGTGTTGCCTTTGCTGTTAGGTCTCGCTGCCTCTTGCCGGTCTCCTTTGTTTTTCTGTCATCCAGTGTACACAATGAACAAGGTTCGAGCTTTTAATTTGTGAAGAGAGTAGTGACAGCATACACTCGGTGATTTGGTAAAGAAGGAGAGGGAAGAAACATTAGTGCTCAGTTCTGACCTCTGCTTCACCAGGGAAGTAGTGCTTGCAGTGTAAAACTTGCGTGCAAAAATTAATTGTTTTGCAGAAATTCTTTGATATAGAAAGAAACCAAAGGTTAAGCTTCCTGTGTTTCATTTGACAAGCTGTGTGGATTAAACTAAATTCATTAGAAATGTGGTCACATATACTAATACTAAAGGCTGTATTTTGTGTGTGAAGTCATGAATTGCATACAATATAAGGACTGAGCTCATTTGTGTTCTCCACTGCTAATTCATGATAAACTAAAATTCTGACTTCTCTTCCTTAAATTAAGCTGAGCTTAAAAAAGAGATATAAAGTTACACCTGTTAAAGAAGCTCAACCTTCTTCACTTTACAACACAGGTGGCATTTTCCTTGAAGTCCCTTGGTGAGGAAAAGTTGGGAATATCTTCCAGAATTTATTTATTCTTTTGCAGTATTGTTGCTAAAGGACAGGTATGTGACATTTAAAAACTCTTCTTCTATATCCAAAATTTAAGACCCGAATCTAGATCAATATTCAGAATTTAAGTCAATGTCCAGTGATTCGTATGAACCCTTTGTCCAATAGAGACAGACTGCAGGGGGAAATAATGTTCCTTTGTGGATTTGAAGCATTCTTGTATGTAGACTTTTAAAACTGATGGTTAAAACAGTTCGTTTATAGCAAAATCAGCAATCTTTAGGACTGAAATTACTGTGATTTTTTTTTTTTCCTAATTAAGCAACAAGACATGAGTGACTAATTTCCACACTTCATGCAAATGGCCTGGCATGGTGACTTGAAGCAATTTAGGAATTCAGTAATTGCCCTGCAACTGAGTTTCATTTTACTAGTAGTAAATTAAACTTAAAACTCTATACTTGAAGACATGGATAAGCTATCGGACAAGCAGGTCAAACTAGATGTGTAAGTATGAAGCCACTTCATAAAAGTAAACACTTTAATCACATGGTGCTGTCAGTGCTTTAGTGTATCAGTCACTCTTCGCTGCACATGTTCCAGGTAAATAACTACAAAATAGCCTAATGAATAGTTTCCCTAACCTGCAAGTAGTACTCTTCAAAAAAAAAAAAAAACAAACCAACCAAACCCACTAACCAGTGCTAAATATTCTGCTGTTGTCTTCACTAACCAGCTAAAGTTAAATGCGGAGTTGCTTTTAAAAGCAAGTTGCACAGGCAGCTGTCGTCTAGGAAGATAAGTGTTTTAGTCCTATAGTTGAATCAAAGATTAGAGACGAGACATCAGATGGAGGCATCAGTGAGATCTGGGTGTTTTGCCTCAAAGATAATGAGTCTCCTTGATGAGTTGTCATCTTATCTTCAGGCAACCTAGTGTTAGGCATCTAAATATATGTTGAAAATTCTCTTCTAACTGTTACTGTCATTCTTCTTGAAAGAGTTTTTTGGTATGTCACTGTTTCACTGGCCCACCCTAGGATATCACTGGCCTGGGCACAGCACTTCTATTATCTGAAAGTCTTTGGAGTGGTTCTCCTATGCTTGCCTGTTCTGTTGCTCTGACCTTTCCCAACACTTGCAGCATGAATTAGAAACAAATATAATAACTCTTAGTGTCTCCTAATAATAACAACTCTTACTGTCTCCTGTTGACTTCTGAAAAGCAGATGGTGATCCAAGGAGGGCTTGCTAGGGTGGGATGTTTTTAGGGGGTGGG